ATCTATATATAGGTTATGAGGGATTTGCTCTCTAATGTCAGTACCGATGGAACTAAGGATTCTGTGTTTTTCATAAAAACTGAGACTAACAATATTGCATGATTGGAAGAGATGTTCGTTTTGGAAAGCACTCATTCAATGGAGTTTTCAGAGCATATGAATTTAGGCCTTGGACTTCATGACCTTCATTGATTGTAACTTAATTTTTTTTTTTGTAATATTATTTATTTAATATAAACAGCATTGGTTAAGCCGATACCGGAATTACGACGTGGTTAAAAGTAATATCGTTTGTGGAGCTATATTAAGTGGACCCTAATTCGAGTACACATTTTTGTGCGATATAGTCTTGAGAAGTGATATCATCCAATCTCATTAAATCAAGTTAAATATGTGGAGCGACCTAATATAACCCCCCCTCTATACGAATACGGTCCCCTACATTTGGTCAGCTCTCATTGAATAAAAACAGAATATTATTTTGACAGGATTTCATTTATATTTAAAAAAAAAAACAATTTGAGCAATTTCAGTAAACTGTACCGAGGAATTTAAGGATTATAAATTAATGTTTTTTGAAATCCATTAAATTTTGAATATTAATTGTTGGGTCTATAACACCAGATTTTGAGAATTTTTGTCTTTCTTTTTTGGTTGTTTGGATTGAGAATTATTGCCTTTTTTTGGTTAAGAATTTTTGACTCTTTTTTTGGATTTTGTGTTGTTTTAGCTTAATTTTTTTGGAACATTTTTATTATTAATTGTTATATTATATATTTGTGCCAGTTAATTGGTCAACATTGAATAATACACAATTTGTAAAATAGTTTTGAAAAATATATCGACCGCACAGATGTCGACTATAAACGACAGTCGAAATATCAGTAACAATACGTTATTTTTTGAAACATTTTTATTAAGAATGGAACTCACCTACAGGCTTTCGTCGAAGTATCAGTAACAATACGTTATTTTTTGGAACATTTTTATTAGGAATGGAACTCACCTACAGGCTTTAGTCGTAGTATCGGTAACAATAAATTATTCTTTGGAACATTTTTATTAAGAATGGAACTCACCTACAGGGTTTAGTCGATCGGTAACAATAAAACATTTTTTGGAATAGTTTTATTAAAAATATAACGGCTTATAGACAACAGTTCAAATACCGGTAACAATAAAATGTTTTTAGAAATAGTTTTATTAAATATGGAAAAATCTATAGGTGATTATAGTCGAAATATCGGTAACAATAAAATGTTTTTGAAACATTTTTATTAAGAATGGAACCCTATTACAGGTTTTAGTCGAAATATCTGTAATAATAATATAGTTTTTTGTAATAGAACCAACTTACAGGCTTTAGTCGAAATATCGGTAACAATAAAATATTATTTGTAACAGTTTTATTTAAAATAGAACCCATCTATAGACTATAGTCAAAATATCGGTAAAAATAAAATATTTTTTGAAACATTTTTTTTTAGAAATCGAAACTACCTATAGGCTATAGTTAAAATATCGGTAACAATAAAATACTGTTTGAAATTTTTTTATTAAAAATGGACTCTACCCTACCTATATAAATATTCCTAATTTATTGGAATAATGAATTATTTTCTGACTTTTTATTGTTTCAGTAAGAAACACTTCATACAACCTTTTCAACTGGCCAATTCACTTCGGGTCTTGAACGCTTCATCAATAGCTCTTCACAAACATCTCTTCAATACTTTAGTCATTTTAGGTGTAGTGGGAGAGATACACAACTTTTTTTTTTCCCACATTCACTCAGTTGATGGGTTTTCATGTTTATTAGTCAACTAACCACTAACCACTAATGCTATGGAATCATACATCACTCCTCCAAATTACTTCAATTGTGGTTACAGTATATTACCATTAACAATACTTTTACTTTATATATGTATTATTAATAACAAATACTTGTTTATAAACTAATTAAATTTGTTAAGCTTTTATTTGTAAACAATTGAGAAAACCGCAAATTTAGTCGGAATTAAAATTATTCCGAAAACATCAATTAAACTTCAGTCGGAGGTTTTAATCGTAAACAACAATAAATCATAAGCAATAAAAACAACATAAAAACAAAAACTGAATAAACAAACAGGATTGTATTCTCACTTGCTCTTTGTTATTCTGCCACTCTCTCTCTCTCTCTCACTCTCTCACTCTCGGTCTCTCTCAGTCTCTCTCAGTCTCTTTGTCTGTCTTTCATAAATTTCCATTACGGCATGCATGTTACAGATTGTCTCTCATTTAAGATTGCTCATATGTTTTCGCAGAAATTTCAGCAAAACAAATCGTCATACAATGATCTGTTGTTGTTGTTGTTGGATTTGTGTTGTTCTTGTTTTTTGTTTAAACTTTAAAGTCTTTATGTTGATTGGTTCTTTTTTCTTTTAATCTACACACATACATATACACACACCAATGATGAGTAATTCCAAAATAGTTCCCAATTATCTGAAGCTTTTTTTTTTTATTATTTCGCAAATGCTGACTTTTGATAAAAAAAACAAAAAAGTATGGAAATACGATAGTATAAAAAAATGTTTATTTATGTAAGAAATTGCAATGTAAAATCATTAAAATTGAAAACGAAACTCATTTCGATTTTAATTTAGATAGCAAAAAAAATTAGAGAAAAAAATGGAGTCACTACTAATTATGGGAAAGGAGAAGAATTTTTTCGTATCTTCATTTCCTTTCACTCAGATACTCTCATTACTAATTAATGATTTACCGTTCACATACTAACTATTCCACATTTCATATTCTCCTCTTCGTAATTATGCTTATAACCTCATTTTCGGTATTTATTTCATTTACAGGTTGGCTAAATTTAACTGAAATTTATTTCAAACTCTCCCAGTCAAAATAAACTACATCCACATTTACTTCAATGCCAGTACGCAATGAGGTTACCACCAATTGTGTTAGTTTAGGTAACCATCAATCTTGATGATATACTCAGAACTATGATTCTATTTTAGAACTATTGTGTAAATCAGGATTCCAAATTTCAGTATAAGGAGTGTAAACATTTTTACTAGATTCCTCACCAACCCGCAAAGCACATGTCAATCGCTTACACATTCCGTTTCAAACCCACAATATCCTTTACGGTTACGGTGCGGTAAGCCCACTTGAACTGAGAAATCGTGGAATATTACATTTTACAAGCCAAGATCAGCACTTCAAAATACTTTTGTATATATAAGTACAGTTAAGTTATGTATTTTGCCCACTAATAATTAATAACAAATTAAATATACAGCAAAAGTTTGAAATTTGACCATTCGATCGCCGTTCTCTGTTAGTGTTCGTTTTCACTAGTAGGGCATAAGGCCACATTCAATCGCCGTTACATCTACAATAAAGTATCGTCCTATATTAAGGTGCACAGGAAGTAATTTACTGAAGTTAACATTTTTAAATAAATTAGAAGTTAAACTGACTTAATAAAAGCTGTTTTTTAAAATCTTAAAATTATTGTCGATTTTATAAGGAAATTTTATCTGTAGTGTAAGTATACTCGGTAAAGTGCTTCTTCGCTTTGGAGAATGGTGTAGGTTGACTTTCGACATCCAAATTAATTTTTTCTGTATATGTATATGTAATATATTCCCATTAAACTGTAAATATTTATTCCCATTAAACTTACTTTCTTACTTAAGTGGCCATAACAACCCTTTACCGGGTTTCGACCTGACGCAGCAAATCTCTCTAGGCGTCTCTGCTGCATACGTATATTCTCCATTTTCTCACATTAAATGCAGTTAGTGCTCCCTCAACTTGAATAATCCACAGAAAACACGGTGTACCTCTACGCCTTCTTCCTGCAATTTCCGCTTCTAATATGTTTTTTTTGGTGGAGCATTATTATTCATTATTTTTTTGGTGGACGTCGCCAAAACGTAGAGGACAAAAGATTTTACAAATCACTATTTTTTTAATTTAACTGTTTCTTTTTTAATTATTATCAATATACCAAATTTTTTAAAATCATTTATAAAATTATTTTATTTGCTCAAACTTCATACATATATCCTAATAACTGTTTAACGTTATAGTTTACGTATATATAGACACATATATAAGTTTCCTGCAATCCAGTTAATTAAGTTTTAATATGTAAGTAATAACAGCTTAAGAAAGTACTGGAATTTATTTACTTCTAAGAAATCCATATATTTTGACAGTATGTGCTTCTATAGACTAAGAGTTAGGTGCTTGATAGGTGTTATATCCCGTATCTGTCGGAAACACTTTGTATATTTCGATTCCACTTTTATTTTGTCATTTATATTTTTTTTCTCATATTTTTCTTCTTTCTCTTATTCTACTAATCCATTCATGTTATGGAGTGGCAGCCATGTACTCAAAGTTCACCTGAGGTGTAATACTGTCCCGTTGTAATACCACTAATTAGCGTTGTTCAGAATGATTAGAAAGACCAGAAGGATTTTCGAAAATATTGCAGTGCTCTGCGAACGAGCAACGCCGAAGCAAGACTTTTTCATTCAAGATGAAACTAAACCAACCTAATAAGTCTTAAATTCAGCCAAATCCATAAGCCTACAGCTGTTTACAGAATGAAAACTCTATCAGGTCGTTATTAAAAGGGGATCACAACGATTTTAAATCTTCACCTAGCTATTGATGGGCATTGATATCTGAAGTGAAGTATAGTTTGCTTCTTATTCGCAGAGTCACACCTCGCGAAAAATCATGATGGGTAGACAGAATCTATCCATAGTATATCTTAGTTGCACGCTATAACTTGTCGGCACCGATACTGCAGTGCTGAGCAGGTGCTGCCTTTGTTAAAACAGCTGACTGGTACATTTTATGTTCAGTTCGAACCATGTTTACCTTGAGATCTGAATTCATATTACTTATTATATATTATATGTTTTTAGTAAGAGTTTATAATTGTTGTGATTAAAACATAAACATTTTCTTCTTTACAGGACCATGAATTTCTACAGCCTTATTTTTAATTACTAAAACGGAAACGAAGGATTTTAACTAAAAGACACGAAATCAAAATAAAGACAGACACAATGTTAATATGCATTTTTGATAACATTCCTTGAAAACTACACAACTATACCTCAATTAGGGGTTAAAGAAGAGACCAAAACTGAGAATATCCGGGACATATCCAAAAGTATACCAAATAACAAAAACAAAATACACAAAACTAACTAAGAAAAACAAACAAGCAACAAAAAACTAAATATTTATTGCCGAGCCAAAGCAGTTCAAATATATTTTTAACCTCATGAATTTTACCACAGTCGCAAATCCACTTATCAATTCAAAAATCATGGAGTGGACCAATGATGATGCATTAGAATTAATAGAACAATACCGTTGCCATACAGAACTATGGAATCGCGCCGATCCAAAGTACAAAGATAAATTATGCCGTTTTCGTGCATGGTCTGAGATAGCCGAACGTTTTGGCTGTAGTAAGGCTGAGGTGGAGCGTAAGATGAACGTACTCCTCACACAATATCGCCGAGAGAAACATAAAATGTTATTAAAATTATATCAGGGTATACAGCCGAATCCATCCAAATGGTATGCATTCAAAAGGTTTGATTTCATGGAAGCTGGTGGTGGGAGTGGTGGAGGTAGTGGCAGTAGTAGTGGTGGTGGTGTTATTATGAATAGCGGCACAAATGGACATACAACAGTAGCAGCAGCAGCGGCAGCATTGAATGGTCTTGGTGGTTTTGATACAACAGCAGGTGGTACGACCATTGGTGCAACAGCACTTTCACATCATCGACGTATGAAGAGCAAGGAAATGAAGTATTTTGGTGCGGTAAGTATATTACATGTGGAATATAATATCATGTATTCATGTATATAAAATTGTATAGCATATAGATATTCTTAAAAGTTTAAAAAAGTTCTAATCCAACATTTGTTGATTACATTTGTTGACATACATTACTTATTATAGTGGATCGCCCTAGTGAACACAGATACTATGGAGTAGAAGTACTTATAAGACACTCTTCATCATGCAAAGAAGAAGATTTGTTTTTGGTTTTAGTGTCGATAAGCTTTATTCCTCTGTTTAAATAGTGCTTAAACGTCGTTTTGAATATATTTCACTATATCCCACCACGGTATACCTTCTAGAACTCAATAACCCTTCTTTCTCTTTTCCCTGAATTCCGCTAAAACAAAATAAAGTTTGTTTCAGTGAGAAAAAAAACAGGCTTCCAACGGCTCATATTATATACAAGAGCACAAAAGCTACTTTCATTGTACTGTAGATATCAACTGACCCGTTCTCCCTTATGGAAAACAATACATTTGGCTATTTGATGCCGAACTGAAAATAAGGGGAAACGTAAAAACTAATTGAACCTCGGTTTCCTGATATACACATAGAGGAAATATTATATTAACTGTTACAAAAATTGAACAATTGTTTTGCATTTCTTTATGTGTGTATTATTTTATGGTTAGATTAAATTTGTGTTGTTTGTGTTTTTATGCTACTTTGCTTTGTGTGCATTCTGTCATAATTAATGACTTTTTCTGTATTCTGCGGTTTACATTTTTGACGTTGACTACATCTATGACAAATATTTCAGCTTTTAAGGTTTTGGATTTACCAACTTGATGACAATGTCATAAAGTTTATAAACAGCTAGAATTACATACAACATCATATTGCTGTTATACAAAATTAATGCAAAGCTTTAAGATTTTCAAATTATCAACAATTGTAAGACATTTCATAGTGTTAATTCTATCCTATAAAAGGAGAACTTAATTACTTACTTAAATGACCATCACAACGATTAACTAGGTGTTGGCCTAACGTAGCACTTCTTTCCAGGTACCACTGCAGTGAGCGCGTCTTCCCCAGTCTCATATACTGTGTGTGATTAGTGCTTCTTTAGCTTTATCACTCTATCAATGACACTGTAATGTCTTCTTTCTTCTACTGCCAATTCAAATATCATCGCAGAAAAATTGTCATTCATTCTCACGTTATTATCAAGCCAGCGCTCACTGTTGCGATAAAGATATCCGTTGCCGGGTTTTGTCTTGATGCAACATATCTTTCCCGGTGTCGGTGCTATATCCGTGCCTTCTTCAGTGTCGTATATGAAGTGTAAAAACATACTTCCTAAATTTGTTTACACCATCGGGGACACAGTCTACCTCTATACCTTCTTCTTCCAACTACCGCTTCAATTACCTTTTTAGCGGGAACTTCATCATTCATATGTTACTCACGACATAACCAAGCCAGCAAAGCAGCTAGATTTTATTTCGCTAAATTATATCAATGCCATGGTGAAGTTCGGGTGTGACAGTCATCGCCAACTCGTAGAGGAACAAAGATCTTAGTGCAGCTTCATCATATTCTTTGATAGTGTCTGTAATTCTGCGTCATGCAGAAGCTCAGGCAGGATGACTGATTTATAAAGCGTAACGCGCAGAACGTATTCTTTTAATTTAGAGTCCAGTCTTTTACAGAATGGATCTGCCTAGATTAGAGAAGCTACTACTGTTTGGATAGCAGTGATTATTATAATTATATTTACACTTTTTTCTTCAATTTCCTTTTTTGTTTGTTTTTGTACTTTTATGCTATCCTCTTAATTTGAATTACCTTTTAGCATCTTCTATGGAGTGTCATTTGTCATTGGGACTCATGTATTTTTCACTCTCTTATCATTGAATATTTTTCATTATTTTTTTTTTCTCCTTTTTTTTCTCTCCAACATATGCATTATGTTAATATATAGGCCACATATACTGCTCACTCCTTTATTGTATGGTCAAAACAAAATAATTTTCCTCTTTGTTATTTTTTTACAATTTTTTATTTATTGAAAACTCAAGACTTTTATATTTGTTGTTACAAAAATGTGCAAATAAAATAATGTTGATTATGTTCATAATTGTGTTCATAATGATGTTCATATCCATCCGTAATAATGATGTGTAGTGTAATACTGTTTTCGCATGAATGTAGTGAGGTGCGCAGGCTTTTGGGCAATTGTTTGTGCTTTTTATAAGCACAAACTAACATACACACACATATGCAAGTACATTGGAGTTTATTTTTATTTATTTGATGTTTGTATTGAAGTGTGTGATTTTTTCTGTTTTTTTTTGTTTTTGTTTTTGTTATGCTGAGTTTCGTGGACGAGTTATCAAAATATGTAAAAGTAAAATTCTTGTTATTTATTTTGTTTTGTTATTGTTTTTATATAATTTAAATGCGAAAAAGCTTGTGTAAACTTAGGACACTTTTGGTTGAGTGTACTTAACGTAGCGGCGGGGGTTGTTGTATCGAGAAATAAAGTGTGAATGAATAGTAATGCTGCTGCCGTTCAAGTGCAAGCTGACTGCTGACTGCTGACTGCTAACTGCTAACTGCTGCTGTCTGTTTGTGCTGTAACTGCTTTCATTATTATTATTTTTGTCGTTGTTGTTGTTGTTGTTGTTATTGTTTTTGTTGTTATATTTCGTTGCCTTGCTGTTGCTGTTGCTGTTATTATTTGTTGTGCATAGCAATGTTGTTAGTGGGTTGTATGGGTTTGGGTGGGGAGGCGTAATGGAGGTTATTTGCTAACAGCCATCGTGACAATTATGTTGACTAACTGACAGCAAAAACATAGAAATGTTTTTGCTGACAGTTAAACAACAGACATACTAATTCCAAAATGTATTTTTACTTTTGTTTGTTTTCTCTATTTGTTTTCGTTGGCTTGTTTGTTTGCATTGTTGTTATTGCTGTTGTTGTTATTATTGCTGTTGTTGCTGATGTAACTGCAATAAAGCAATGTGTGTGCATCTTACACGTATACAACATACATACTCACATATGTTTGTTTACTTTAAGTTATGTATGTTACATATGTATATACACATATATGTGTGTGTATGTAAAATGTTTTTATATTGAAATCGTTGTTGTTTTTATATTTTTTCCTATATGCTAGCTCTCTTATTTACAATTATTGTTGTTTTATTGTGATTATTTTGTTATGGTTATTTGTGTTTTTGTTTTTGCTTTCCCTGTAGTTACTGCCATTGTTGTTGTTGTTTTTGTTTGTAGTTCAGCGAACAGCAGCAATACGACAATACGAATTCGATGAGTAAACAAGTCGTCGCATCATGCGTTGTTATTGTTAAGCTTCTTTCAAAAAAAAAAAAAAAAAAAAAAAAAACAAAACAAGTTGTTCTACTGTACCCCTACAACCGGTAAAGTACTACTAAATGCGTATGTATGTATGTGTGTTGTATTTAAAAGGACAACAAAATTTTTAAAAAAAATTTACCAACCCATGAAGCCATGAAAACAATAAAACTGCAACTAATCATGTTTAATGCAAAAAGAGTAACACGGTAATCACAGCGGTTTGCATCTGTTCCATTTCTATTTGGGATTGTAAAGTTTACTGTTCATAATACATAACACAAACAGTAATGACTTTCTGCTATATGTATGTGTGCTAATGTGTGTGTTATCTTCACTGTTTATACGATCAAAAGTGTGCTATAAAATCTAACTCAATTTCCAAATTTTTTATTCTTGTTTTTGTTTTCCATTTGATGTGAGTCATTTTTTACCAATCATAGTGTCAACTATCGTAATGCACCACATCTAATCTAGGGCAATATAATTTTACAATGACGATTAGTTTTTTAGTAACTTACTAATGCTAGTACTATTACAAGCTTATTGTAAACTACTAATCAATCCACTTCGACTTGTTTGCATAGACTCCAGTGCTTGAAAATAATACATCAATAAGTCTACGCTCTAACAGGCATTCTTCAACATAGTCTCCTTAAAAAGTAACCTATTTGTTCAATTTTTTTTTTAATGTCTTTTTTATAAAAGGATTTATCTTTGTTATAAAAATAGGATTAAATTTCAACAATCATTTCAACCGAATTCCTTTTCTTTAAGCAACTTTTTGATGTCTACAAAAAGCCGATAGTCACTGAGAATCCAGTCAAGAGAGTACTTCTCTAATTTTTTAATATTTTCTTAGTGAAACGATTAGTCGTAGCGCAACTTTTTATATTCGCAAAAAACCGATAGACGGTAAGAATCAAACTTAGAGAATAATTTATTAATTCTTTTATGTCTTTTCTGTAGAATGATTTGTCTTTGCTCTCAAAACAGGCTTTACTTCTGATCTAATTAATTTCTTCCCCTAGAACAATTTTTTAATGTTCGTGAAAAGCCAGTAGGCGCTGGGAATCAAATCTAAAGACTAATTTCCTACTCTTTTGATGTTCTTTTTGTAGAACAATTTGTGTTTGTTCTCAAAATAGATCTGAATTTCAGCAATCAGTTCGCAGTTGAATCAAATTTCCTTCCCTGGAGCAATTTTTTGATGTCTGCAGAAAGCCAGTAGTCGTTGCGAATCAAATTCATCTGATCTCAACATATGTGTAGCTGTCAAATAATGTTGGGATTGTCCCAAAAACATGTTCCATTAGGCAACAAAATTCGAGCAAAAATTGATAGATCAAGAGCAAATCCAGTTTTATCAATCGAATACGACATTAACTCATGTATGTTAGTATATATTATGTGCATTAATATATTTATCAATTTACTTCACACTCAAACTGTTATAACAATTATAAATGTGCAATGAAATTGTTTATAACAAAAATAAATTCCATAAACATATGTCACGCAAAGTGTTTTTCGACGTCTGCTTGACTGTGCCACTACTTCGACTCGCTATTTATTGCACGCTGCTGCCGTTTACATATTTTTGACGTACAGTGTAGGTTATTTATTCATTGGTTTGGATGATAATCAGT